CCTGCAATGTCCCTTGATGTGTTACCTCAATGAGAAAAAAGAACCTTCTTTCTCAGGACACTGGGGAGAAAAAGGAATGGGATGTTATGGTTACACCGCCATAGGTCCCATCATCATCATCATCATCATCATCATAATAGTTTCTGGCATTTCAGTTTGGTAAATAACAAGCTTTTTTCAAAACCAGATGTACTTCCCTCCATCATGTCATATGATTTAAGCAAGTCGTAATCCAGGAAAACCTCCAGGAAGCAGTAGTTTCCCATGTGATTCACATATCTCTTTATAGCAGAGGTAGTTCCTACTTTTGAATACTAGTCCCTGGTAAAATAGGATTCCTATTTTGTTTTTAGGAGAGAAACTGTGTGAATGTACATTTGTGTACGTCCATGTGCATGTGAATCCTGGGAACTATAGTTTGCTAAGGCTGCTGGCAATAGTTCTATGAGGGGCAAACTGCAGTTCCCAGTATTTTGGGTGCTTTAAATGTATCATGTGCATGGAGGTTTTATATAAAACATACCGGCAAGCAGTAGGTTGCAGATTGGTGAGGGGCCACAGCTGATCTAGAGTCATCTTTCCTCACAAACACAGAAGTACTGGCTGCAGGTCTGATCCTAACTCAATGTAGGCACACCACACAAGCTTTTGATTTCAGCGTGCTTCGGTGCACCTAACTCTGCAAGGGATCAAGTTGTTATTTCCTCAAGCTGTTACCAAAATAAGCTCAGTTCGAGAAGGCCCCTGCCCCCATTCAGTGTGAAGCTGGATTTAAATAGAATTAACTGAACATGAATCCATTCCTTTTGGCCTCCATCCAGATTTGCAGATACTGATAGGGGCCTTTTTTGCACTCTGAGAAGGGCACCTTCTTTGCCACATGTTCTCCTTGCCCCAGGCATCTGGCAAAATCAGATGCCTCATGTAGCCTGCCCTTGTTACTGACAGAGAACTAAGTTCTGGTGAGGGAAAGCAGCTCCACTTGTATTATGTCAGTAATTAAAACACAGAATACTAGCAGATTCATATGTGGTGTTACTCAGGAATTCTAAAAAACATGCTCATTGGGCAACAGTCATTCGTTCCCCTTACCTTGGGATTCCTTGGAATAATAGTTTGTGACTAAGTAGTAGACTTTGAGCACTTCCAGAGTTTTGCTATTTTGGGGTGGGATTCATTCACATATTGGTAAATTCAGGTCACATAATTAAAAATGATTTGGAGCTCTTGCATAATGAATTCACTCCCCTAATTTGACTTTTTGTGACAAGGAAATGTCACAAATGCCCTGGGAAATTTGGGGTAACATTTGCTTGACACAGCATCGTTTAACCTCCCTGCAAACTTTGTGCGAATAAATCAGGATAAATCAATAAGCAGTTTGTCTTGAAGTGACCTGAGTCCCCATCCCAACAATAGATCTGAACAGGGGGAGGGAACTGATTTTCCAAATGAGAGTTTTCAAAAACTGAAAAATACCCAAGCACTATTTGTTTGACATAAAGTTTTTATAACTAACCATTTTATAAATGCAGACAACAAAATATCTCTGCAGCACACAGAAACATTATCACACAATATTTAGGTGACCTAGTATCAATGGGATAATGAACTGGATTGTATTCATTTTCAAAAGAATGGTGTTTGCAGGCAACATTATTTTTCTACTAATGTCACACAACAGATGATTTTTTCCACAAGAAAACAAGTGGTTTTGTTAAGAGAAGTATCCAAAGAATCGGGGAGTAAAGATGAGAGAAGCTTGCTTTTGAGTCAAGTAGAGGCTTAATCCAGGAGTGGGGCCAACTCTTGCCTCCACATCACACAACATGATGTCAGTGTCTGTTTACAATTTCCAAAGGACAAACAGGATGGTATTTCTGCAAAAGAATTAATGAATACTAATTGGGTCTTAGAAATGACAATTCATAGAAACCAGAGTGAACATTCCTGTCTCTGAGGTGGTCTTTTTCTGAATTTAAAGACTTTATACTAAACACACACAAAACCCCCAAATGTTTTCAAGGCTAGTAAAGCTGCTGACCTGGAGTTTGTTGATTGATTTGACACAATTTCTTTTGACCTGTATTGTGATTTTTTAGGTTGGTTCAGTTGGCACAAACAGTGAGTAGCTCTCACATATGACAACAGACAAATTGAGCACAAACTTCCTAGGTAGTCCGGACCCATCTCCATCTTTGGGCTTATTGAATACATGTGACTCAGTCTCATTTACTGCAATTAATTTGATAAATGTAGTGCAGCCGGCTCCAGTTTTGGGGGTCAGTCAGGTGCTCTCAGCAGGCCTCAACCTTAGCACTCCTGTTCTGCAGTGCACATCTGCAAACTTGTTTGCTTTTCTCTTCTGGAACCAGTCCATGCAACCATTCAGATAGAGAGAGAGAGAGAGAGAGAGAATAAAGCAGGCAGAGGATGCTGCTGTATCACCTCACTCTTCTGATTGTTTGCATGCTAGAAATGACATGTGAACACAGGCATTGACAGCAGTGAGGATGAGGAGCAAGACCAGCAGTCTCCAGGGAATGGCAGTGTGCCCTTTGCAGGGGTATTGGCCACAAGAGGTGCCCAACAATTTTTGTAAATAGCCCTGTGATCTTCAGATGAAGGACAATATAATAATTTAATTAATAAAATAATATGTAAATAATACTGCTGCCACCAGCCCTGACTGGCACTTTCAAGCATCTGTTGAAGTAGGCGCTTGCCTCCAAGGCCCAGCTGCTGCACATGGTTTCTCTCTCTTTGCCTTTGAACAATGACGAATCCTGCCATCCTTGAAAGGAGAGAGGACATGCTACCCTTGTAGGATATCATGTGTCAGAAGGGAAATAAACAGATATTGCTATTGCAAAAGGTAAATGCAGTTGGAGCAAACTTTATTGCTTGTGCATCCAAGCTTTCAGTTAACCTCATCTCTGATTTAAATATTGTCCCAAGCTGTTCCCTTTCAGCTTTGTTAAATTGGAAGAGAATGTGTTAATCCAGACATAAAGCCACAATCCTCTTATATTAAAGTAGCCCCATTAAAATAAACTGTACCAGTTTTGAGCAATAAGAAGATAGTAACTCTGGGAACAAACTTCAGTGAGTTAATAGTCCCAGAACTGGCCACTCAAGAAGCAGTCTAGTATGTTTCTTTCTTATCCAATCTCATGTATTTATTAGTTGTCACAGAAGTCTCCATGGTGAACCCTGACTTCTTTGCCATGCTAGGATCGGGATTACGGCGATGGCTTCTATTTATTATTTATTGTTCTCTCTAATAGTAAACTCAGGTGGTAAGTGCCGACAGAGATTGAGCTAAAACAAGGGCATTAGAAAATAAGATGGAGTGGTATGAGCATCCTCAGAGGAATCCAAAGTACAAAACATTAAAGGGGAACCCACAAAAACCAGCTCAGTGAGAATTGTACCAAAGAATGCTGAGTGTTAATGGAAGGAGGAAACCAGAAAACTGGGGGTTATGGGAAATTGATTACCCTGCTTGAACTCTTTATACTCTCGTACAAGAGGGCATAGCTTGCTGACAGAAACTCTAGAAAAGAATAGCAATACTGCCAAAAGGTGAGATTACACTGTAACACCAAAATCCATATTAGGGAAATAATTTTATCATCAAATAGAATCATAGAATTGTAGTGTTGGAAGGAACCAATCTAGTTTTCAACTCTTTGTCAGGCTAGATGGTAAATGAGAAATTTAGATGCGTGTGCAACTAAATTTACAAGCTAAAGCAAAAATGCAGCAGTAGGAAGCACATGAAAAAATCCCTAAAGAGCCCACTTAAATAAAACCAACTGCTGCATCCCATGTTGAGTTGTCAGGGAGCTTTCTGTCATTTTCCTGCACAATCCTATACACATCTATTCAGATATACAGCTTCATTCAATAGGATCTACACTCAGGTAAACCTGTATAGGATTGCAGCCTTTAAGCTGTACTTAATTTGATGAGTGTGGATATGCTTTATTTAGTATTTTTAGGCAGAGACAGTTAGTTTTGGGTGGCATGGAAGGGCAGCAAATAGTTATTGGATTTATTATTACTGTATTTTTAGTGTCAGGGAAGGGCAGAAGAAGCGCTTAGAATTTCTGCTATAGATGCCTTGATTTGGTGGGGGTGGGGAGCAAATTGTCTCGATTCGGCTGTTTTTGTTCTCTTACTGCTATTCATTATTCCTTATTGCTCGGACCTCCAGATGTGGCAAGGGACGACTCAGCTGCTGGACTTTTTTGCTGGTTGGTAATTCTAACACACCCAGCTTGGAAAAAATGCAAGTATTTCCAAAAAGTCACGGAATATGGAGGGGTTTTGTGTCGTTCTTATAATTTACGTGCCCTGCGTTTGCTGTAAGCCTCGAATATAAACTTCAAAGAACTTAAACGGTGCTGGGGTTTTGTGTTTTTGTTTTTTAACTGCCACGGTTTGGTGAGACGAGATTTCAAAAACGCATTAAGCAAACAACGCATATTAAAAGAGGCGCATGTGTACAATGTATTCGTATGAAGGCAAGCAAAAACAGAGAAGAAAACAACCGTGAGGGAAGAGAGACCAAGGGGCGCGCCAGTCGCCGCCTCCTGTTCTCAAAGGCAGCCCGCACGGGCCTGTAAAGGGCTCCAGCTCCGCTCTTGGCACCCGCTTCCTTCCTTCCTGGCCTCGCCTCGGTTTCTATGACAACCACGGCCACCTCTTTCCCCCGCTCCCGCCCCTCTGCGTTAAGCGCGGCCCACGACTCGCCTCCACCAATCACAGCCGGAGAAAGCGGCCGCGCGCCATGTGTGTTGTTATCCCGAGCGCGCACTGATGACGCAATGAGGCGAGCGCCAGGCCATAACGCCCCATTTGGGCTTGGGCTGGACCCGGCGCCCACCCCGCCGCGGGCTGAGGTGAGTCGGTGTGGGGCGACTTGGCCCCAGAAGGCACTGAGCTCGACATGGTCTTCTTGCTATCCGGCGTGGTCTTGGCGGGGCCTTGACTCGGGGGGGGGGGATGTCTTGGGCGCACCAGACCATAGAGGGGCCTGCACTTCTCCCTTGCTCGTGCTGTATCCGAGGCCTGCTTTGCAGGTCCGTCCCCCCCGCCCCTGCCTGGAGTGGAGCTTGAGGGCTTTCGCAGTGAGCCTCTGTAGTCCTTCCGTTTGCCCAAAGTAGCACTTCAGGCTGCTCCTCTTTGGCATTCGTAGCTCTTTCCCCCGTCAGCCTCAAAGCTCTAGTAGGGCAGCGCCTGTCCTTAGAATTCGAGTAAGCAAAGAAGGAAGATGCTTTGGTGCTGACTGTGCTTAGTCCCGTTAAGTTGGTGTCACCATAAGGTCAAGGAAAGGGAATTGTTTATCTCTTAAATAAAGGAAGCTGCGTTGTTCCAGGTAAGACCATTTGTCCATTTAGTCCAGCATTGGCTACTCCAGCATTTCCCAACCTATTGTCCTCTTAACTCTTTTGAGCTCCCAGTTCATCACCCACAACCAGCTTAGCCAATGGTCAGAGATGATGGGAGTTGCCCTACAGCATGCGTAAGCACACATGTTCTCCATCGCTTGTAGCAGTTGTTTTTCAGGATGTGAGGCATAGGTCTTTCAAATCACCTGCTCCCTGATCCTTTTACCTGCGGATTTCAAGTACTCTGTCTTGGATCACCTTCCTGCAAAGCATGTGCTGGAGTTTTGGTTCCTCTCTGATTGGTCTGCCATTAAGTAATTTGGGAGTATTATTCACTTCTATAGCTTGATGCTGGTAGAATTTAGCTCTGGTTGACTGTTACCTGAAAACTCTTGAGTGCAGTGAGAGAGAATGAATGGGAGTAAATATGGCTTGCTACTGTTTCTTAACATATCTGGCCCTCATAGGAAATCAAGTGAGCTTCCATACATGCATCGTATACAGAATTGCTGCCCTGTTTATGCTTGTAGAAAAAAAGGTGGAGGAGGATTAAGTATAGGCTTCAGTGTTGTGTGGGTGCACATCGGTTTTCTTCAACATGCAAGAGGAAGAATAGGTTGTCAATGTATAAAACAGAAAAACAAGGGTGAAAAACAGCTTGTTACTTGTGACTGAAGTTTTCTTCCTACATGATCACTCCTTGTCTAATCTTGTCTTGAAAGCTTTAAAAATATGTGCCGTGGAATAAAACTTGTTAAGACTGTTTACAGAGAACAAGGGTTTTAATGGGCACTTCATTTTCTTGTGTTCTCATAGCAGTTTGAAACATGCTAAAATTTCATGGTATACATGGTCAACACCTGACTCCTGTGGTACTCTTGTAAACTGCCCTTTCAAAAATAGTCTCTCTCAGAGGAGCAGGGCAGTGGCCATCTCTTAGACTGTCCTGTGGCAAGCAAGATTTGGGAGGCACATGTGCTGAATAAATATGAAGGGTGTTATCTGCATGGTTACGGTATAGTAAAGTTGCACTGGTAAAGTAATTGTACACCTGATCTTTAAACCTTAAAATTATGCATTATTGGCTTTTGTAATAAGTGCTGACGCACAAGAATTACCTGCACTTGAAGAAGTAAGAGAGGCCTGGACAAAGCCTGGTTTCCATGGAATTTGAGTGAAATTGATCCAGGGTCTGTGAGTTACATTTAAAACCACAGGACCTCTTTACAGAAAGAACCACTGCTTCAATCAGCTTACTAGGGAGACAACCTTTTTGCTTATATACCCACTAGTTTTCTCCTTGAAGTCAGTAGAATATCAGAAGCCTACTCCACAATAGCTTAAAGCTGGGCTTTCAGCATGGATGCTCCTCTTCTGTGGAACAGCATTCCTGTTGAGATATGAAAAGTGCCTATTATTTCATTTTTCCGTGATCGACTGCAGACCATTTTGTTTTGACAGGCATTTCCAACTGGGTGAAAAGGTATCTGCCTTAGTTTTAGTAACACTACAGAATAAACACCTATAGTTTTCATCGTTTGTACTATTTTAAAAGCTATTTTAAGTAGGGTGTTGTTGTTTTTGTAAATTACCTTGGGATACATATGGAAGGTGATTAATAAATTAACAAAATAAGTGTAGTATTGCTAGTTTCCCCCACCCCAAGATGGTGACTGCCCCTTTCAAAGCTCTGATTTACTAAGAGGATGCAGTTGTTACTCTACCAGTCTGTTACCTACCTTCATTCCTGCCTGCAGTAGCAAGGTTGACTTTAGATATGAGAGATGGTGGCTAATGGTGCAGCTACTGCAATATCTCTCAATGCCTTGATAGTTTTAATAGGAGAGGCATCAACTCCAGATGAAGACCAGGCTATTCTGTTTGCATTCCAATCACTTCCTTATAACGGCCTTCTAGGTGAATATTGAGAAATATTTTACTTCCTTGGTAGGTTCTGGGACAATATCTGATTGCACTGACGAGCATTGTTTCCCCCCGCTTCTACCCTTGAGATTTGTGTAGGATTGGAAGGAAGTACATCTGAACTCTTCTGAAAGTACAGTTCTCAAAACATTTTCTTGTTGAAATTCTATTGCAGTCTGTGAAGGGTTTGCACAATAAATCTTTTTTTATAATATCGTAGATTTTTTAAACAGACATTTGAAGGAGGAATAAAAATTAAATATGATGACAGGTACCTTTAAGATGAAAACAGGAAAACTTGAGGTGCTAACTTTTCTCACAGCATTCATAAGGAAGAAAAGTGTGTGTGTGTGTGTGTGTGTGTGTGTGTGTGTATGTGTATGTACACCAGCCTTTCCCAAGCTGGTGGCCACCTGATAATTTGGATTGCAACTCCTGTCCTCCCAGACCATTGTCCACATTGACTGGAGTTGTTGGAGCTGGAGTCCAAAATGTCTGGAGGGCATTAAATTAGGGAAGGTTAGTTGCTTTGACTTTGCAGTGTGAAGAAAATGTGCTCATCATTTTTTAAAGATTATTTTGAAAGGCATGCTTCTAACACACTGAGTAATGCCACACTTCGGATAATTTTCCTGATACTTTTGAATGCCAATTGTGCATGATTGATGTTTGTTACAGGTGCTTTAAATTGACAAAGACATGTGGTAAGCCATCAGCAGAGGGTGGAATGTCCTCTACTCTGCAGTTGGCTTCCCCTTCTACTTCTTGAGCCTTAAGATCATTCCCGTCCTGTGAATGGAGGTTTAGGTTTAGCTTTAAAGAGATTTTTAGGATTAAATGTTAACCTTTGAACACTGACTTCCTTAAGCTTTTTGTTTTTTCAAAAGTGGAATGCTGCATTTCTTTCTGACATGCCTTTAAAATTCTGTTGTTTAGCTGCTCTTAGTAGATAGGATTCTCTTACAGTTGCTCAGGTTTTATGTACGTTTGAGGAAAGGTAAAATATACAATAGCAAAAGATGTTTGAGAAGATCCAGCAACTTTCTAGTACTTTCCATTGAGTAGCTTGAGTTTAGACATCTTTTCCTCTCTCGTGGACCAGAATGGGAAAACTCAGACTGAGAAAGTGACATAATGTAGGCAACTTACCAAACTCCTGTCCAGCATTTTAAAAAATGCTTTCAGAAAATGCTAAAACTTGTAATGGAATTTTGTACCTGTGTAATCTGTATGATAATGTTGATAGTACTGTTTGAGAGTCAACAGTTTCAGCATTCAGCATCTGCAACCCTAGCTCCAGCTGCTAGAAGGAACAATAGCGAAAAGAAGGTGCCAAACCAAACTGTAGGTCAATATGCTGATCAGCCAAACAAATAGACAAATACTGAGTTCACTTGGAAATCTCTTGACTTCTGTGAAATTTACTTTTAGTAACTATGCTAAGCTAGAAGCCTTAATGCCTTCTAGTTATACAGCTGCTAGACTCCATTGCATTCCCATATTCTTTTTGCAGAAAACATTTGCTGTTCCAGCATCAATTTCCTGTCTTCAGCTTCATAGGTAACCTATAATTTGGGTGCAGATGCTCATGAAATGTGAGCACTTCATACCTGTGAAGTGATTCTGGTGACTTTCTCCCTTTCTCACAATATCTCTGCACATTTTTGGATGCAATTAATTAACTTACAGGTTTTCCTCTACTGGAGATTGTATTAAGGAAGCTCTAGCCAACTGGTTTTGGGAGGACTTGGATTGATATATTGAAACAGTTTGAACTGTTTATGTACTAAAAGTTATCTTGAGATGCTCAGAATTGTTGGATCATTTTATTTTTAACTTGATGGAGTTAGCACAGAACTAAGAATGTCCGAGTCTTGGCTTATCAGTGGAAGTACTGATGTTGTGGCATTTCTTCCTTTGGTTTCATGACAGAGCTGTGGTTTAAAGCACACTTACACTCCCCCTTCCTAATTATATTTTCTGGGAAGCCAAGTCTCCTGAGTCATAGTAGAGATAATTTCCAAGTGATTGAATAAGCAGGAGAAAGAATTGAGGTTATTAATATGGTTCAACTCAGACATCACACAGAGGTATGGTTTGTGTCAGTCTTCCTCCAAGCTGGTGTCTTCCAGATGTTTTGGACTACAATTCCCATCAACTCCAGGGATGGTGGAAGTTGTATTCTAATGGGTGCCAGGCTGTGCAAAACATGGTTTGCAAATCTACTTCAAACTGTAGTTATTGATTCTGATTTGTTGGTGATCACAAACTGTGGTTTAAGAATTCAAATATTGCACTAAAACCTGAATTAAGCTTATGTGCAGAAAGGAAGGGGGCATTTATTGAATAAATATAGTATGCTCATCTCTCTCTCTCTCTCTCTCTCTCTTTCCGCTCCAGCTTCCTGGGATGTCGTGGAGATTGGAATTGTTCCAGACATGCTTGCTCTGGTGTTGCTCTGGGAGAACACCTTGATGGATGATTAGTACCATTCAGTGATGGGCTGTGGGACTAGCAAAGTACTTCCTGAGCCTCCCAAGGATGTTCATTTGGATCTCGTTAAAAAGGTGGAGCCATATACTGGTTATAAAACTGACATATATAAGCACTTCATCAAGGGTGATGGAGATGCCATCAAATCTGCTATCCCTTCTCCTCCTCGTCACACTAACCCACATGTGGAACAGGCAGAGCCTCGCAAGAACAGAGTGGCAAAGTACCGTGCAAAATTTGATCCCAGAGTGACAGCCAAGTATGATATCAAAGCCCTGATTGGCCGAGGCAGCTTTAGTCGTGTAGTACGGGTGGAGCACAAGGCTACCAAGCAGCCGTATGCAATCAAGTTAATAGAGACTAAGTACCGTGAAGGAAGGGAAGTGTGTGAGTCAGAGCTGTGTGTGTTGCGTCGTGTTCGGCACACCAATATCATCCAGCTCATTGAAGTGTTTGAGACTCAGGAGCGTGTCTACATGGTGATGGAATTGGCCACTGGAGGGGAGTTGTTTGACCGAATCATTGCCAAAGGTTCCTTCACTGAAAGGGATGCTACCCGAGTGCTGCAAATGGTGTTGGATGGAGTTAAATACTTACATACATTGGGCATAACTCACAGGGACTTAAAGCCAGAGAACTTGCTCTATTACCACCCAGGCATGGATTCTAAAATAATGATCACAGACTTTGGGCTGGCGAGTGCTCGAAAGAAGGGAGACGACTGCTTAATGAAGACTACCTGTGGGACACCAGAGTATATTGCCCCAGAGATCTTGGTCAGAAAGCCCTACACAAACTCAGTAGACATGTGGGCACTGGGTGTGATCTCATACATCCTACTAAGTGGGACGATGCCTTTTGAAGATGACAACCGCACCCGCTTGTATCGGCAAATTCTGAAAGGAAAGTACAGTTACTCAGGGGAGGTGAGTGTGTCAAGGTTCCAGCAAGGGAGTGCCTGTTGTGCCAGTGTATTCTGTGATGGTCTGAAATCTCTGGTCTCTACAGGAAACACCCTCATCCTTAAATCTTGAAGCCTACTGCAACCCTGGTCCTTTAAAAGCTACTGCTTTCAGAATATATAGTGTATGTTTTTTTGTTTCAGAAATTAGGCCCCCTTTTGCACAAAATGTCTTACAAGAAACAACAACAATGAGGTTGTCTGGGTGAAAGCAAAAGTAACAAGTGATTTCCAAGCAGTGGGAATCTCTGCCCCTGCTAATGGGAGGTGGTAAGGCCAGGCTTTTTCAGAAATGGAATTGAGTCATTTATCCATTTTTTGGAGATGTATTGCATTTCCTCTAAAGAAAAAAAACCCCTCTCAAAATGGTTTGCAAAGAAGAAAAATGTAAAAGAAGTATTAAACTAATACAAAAATTCTTATTTTTCTTACATAAATTAACATTATTTAACATTTTAGCATTGGAATGGTTGGCTTTTAAGCAGTTTGGGAGGCCTCACTCCTCTGGAAGATAGAAGAATGCATGGGAGCTCTGCCAAGTCTTTACAACAGCTTCAGATGGGATGAGTTGAAAAGCCATTCCCCTCTAGGAGTCTGCCTGTCCTCAGGAAAGATGGAGCTAAATCTAACTTCTGAGTCTTGTCTGGTGCTGTTCAAAAGACCAGTGGACCCTCCAGAAGTTGTTGGACACCAGCTTCCATCAGCTCTGGCTAGCATGGCCAATGGCCAGGGGGAATGGGAGCTGTTGTTTAGTAATATTTGGAGAGGCACACATTGTCTGGAGAGGCAATGCTTTAGAGCAGTGTTTCCCAACCAGTGTTCCGCGGCACACTAGTGTGCCGCGAGACGTTGCCTGGTGTGCCGCGAGATGTTGCCTGGAGGGAGGCGGGCGAGTCGGGCGGCGAGAGGCGGGGCGGCGAGGAGAGGCCGCCCAGCGCGGGGCTCTCGCCGTCTGCCTGCCTGGCTGCCTGCGAGCTCGGCGGGCAGCGCCTCCGTCCGCAGCGCCCACCTCGTGGCTCTCATTCCCTGCCCCTGCCAAAGCTCACCCAGCCAAGCCGCGCTCTCCTTCCTGCCTCGCTTTGCTGCCTCCTCCCCCCCCCCAAAGCTTGGAGGTTCCCTGGCGCCGACCCGCAGGTTTGACCCCCTTCTCACACCTGTTCGCGCTCCTTGCACGGAATGGGGCGGATGGGGAGGAATGGGGCTCGCCGCTGCCTCCGCTCGCCCTCCCCCCCTCCGCCGGCGGTCCCGCGATTCTTGGCTTTTTTGGCGGTTGGCACAGAAGGAAGGCAAGGGGGAGGGAAAAAAATTGAAACTTACACTTTCGTGTGTCCCTCCCGGCGTGACGCTGCGCGCTGACGTCACGGGGCTGTAATGGTGGAGTGCCTCGAGATTTTTTTCATGAAACAAGTGTGCCTTTGCCCAAAAAAGGTTGGGAAACACTGCTTTAGAGGCTATTTCTAGGGGGTGCTGGAATGTATCAATTAAATCTGTCATTGTACTGCTTTGGTCTGCTTCATTGTGTGTCTTATGGTTATAGAAAGAAGAATATATGAATGTGGAGATAAGTTCTATACTTCCTTCAATAAGTTACACTCAGAAATAGAAATAATTCAACTATTGCCCCTAGTGGCATCTCAGCAAGAACTGAGCCAAATGTTTTATATGTGTAAGAGAGCAATTTTTCAGTCGGGGGTTGAGAAGTGACAGTAAAATAACTGACTGAAAAACAAACGAGGTACTTGCTAGTTCTCAGGCTGTGATGACATTTCAGTAATGGATGAAGAGTCCTTTTTATATTATTTGGGGTGTAATGTTCTAGATGCTAAATCAGGATATAAGTTGCTTTTGAAAACATTGAGGCAATTTTCATGGCTGTGCAGGTTTTGATAAGTCTTCCAAATAATGTGCAGTTGGTCACTCTTTGATTTGACTTGTAGCTTCTGTATGTTTGTGGCTGGGTTGTGTCAGGCAGTCAGATTTCACAAGCAAGTAGGTAACCTACAGTAAGTAGGCACCCCATTTATATTCTGTAGAGTAGTAGTTGTTGTTGTTGGTTATTTTGCCATGCCTGTTTTGCTTCCTGTAGACCACAGCCAGTGAATCCAGATGATCCAACTAGTTTCCCTATTTGTGAATTGTGAATGAATCTGACAGCTGCTATGTCCTGGCACTGATTTAAGCAACATGTTTCACAGTGTTTAGGAATGAGTGATAATCAATGGAGAAGTAGGTCAAAGAGCTGATAGCGGGTGGTAGGCTCCCAAGCTCCCACAACACCCCCCCCCCAATAATGGGTGTCTTGAAGAAACCATGCTTCTGCTAACCTGATAAATCTCGGAGAATCAGTTTTCTTCTTATCTTTTCTGGTGTAATGGGAAGAAATCAGCCATAAGCTTGTTTTATCACTGGCCTTCCAAAAACAAATTAAGAAAACTTTTATTACACAGAAATCCTTTAAAACTGCACTGGATGCAGCTGTGGCAAACTGAGTGTAAGATTGAGAATGCGGGAGAAAAAGGCTGCTACAGAAAGGCCCCTACCCCCCTTTTTTAGCTTTAACTCTGTGAAATGAACACACTTTTATCTGACAGTGGCACTCCCAAGAGGCATGTCTGTGGAGATCCGATCATAGAGTTATAGATTCGCCTGCAGTGACCCTCTGGGCTAAAGCATAAGAAATGTGCTTTTGAGCCAGGGAGGAGAGTGTCTGCTAACATAGGCTCTCATAGAATTTCACAGGCAGAGAGCTTGCATCATAGAAGAATCCAAAAAAGGTTAGATGTTTTTCCTTCTCTTCCTATCCCCAAAAGAAAAGGTGTACTTTCCAAGACAAGGCTTGCCTCAAATGCTGAACTGAGATTGTGGAGTCCTATTGAGAGAGAGAGATGTGAAAGCTGATATTCAGGCTGACTTGTGAAGTATTTCCATTTTCTTGATGAGAAATGAAGAGAGCTTACAATTTGGGTTCCTTTCCTGGAGCAGTGTCTGTTTTCAAGAGGCTAGTAGGCAATTGATGGGAAAGCTATACCTTAATAGCTCATTTAGGTCCTGCTGACCTCAACTACTCTAATTACCATTCTCTGGCTCCTGATGGTATAGAGTTGATGGCAAAGGCATGGCGTTTAAGGCAGTCTGGGGATAAGTGACTTGGCAAGCCCTTTTGATGATGTTAGCTCCCTGGGTAAGGGTTACAATGCTTATCGAAGCTGGATCAGTACAGCCTATCCATCAGGAACTAATTGTGTTCTCCCCTGCTCCCTGCTGCTCTTTCTTTGCTTTATCAGGGCTTTGCTAAATAAGCTGAAGGGGCTAGTTTTACTGTCAAAAATCCTACAGGTAACATAGCAGAAAACTTCTTCTACTGTTCTAATGTTTCCATTAGAGAGGAGAGTTCACATGCTTTTCAGAAATGTATCCTGTCACTCTTTTGGATTTCTGATTTGATGCTAACAAACTAGAAGGCTTCCAACTACTTAAAAGTTGGAATTCAAGGGAGAAGTAGCTATTTGAAACTTGGCATAATATGTGGAGTACAGGTACTGGAGGCTGTTGGCCTGTGGGGGAAACTTAGTGCTTGGGAGCTGGTGTAGTGTAGAGGCTGATGTATAAATCAGGAAGTCCCAGCTTCAAATGTCACCTCTACCTTGAACTCATTAAGCTGCTTTAGGCAAGTTACTTTCTCACGGCCCTGGTTCTCCCATCTACAGTATGGGGGATAAAAATGCAGACTTAGGATTGTTGTAAAAATTACTGGAAAATATACATGGAACCAAGGACCTTATACCAAGTCAGGTGGTTGTTTTACTCAGTATTGTTCACAATGACTGGCAGGCAGTTTCAGGCAGGAGTTGTTCCCAGCTCGACCTGGAGATGCTGAGTATTGAACCTGGGACCCTTCTGCATGCAAAACAAATGATCTACCTCTGAATTATGCCTACTTCTTCTTGAAAGCACTTTGCCAATGTTAAAGTACTAAGACTTGCAACATAATGTTGCAGTGTATCATCACCTTTGTAGAGGAGTGCTCCTCTTCAAGGTTCCAATCAGCCATGTCTTCCACCTTGATTTTCCATCTTTTTGGGCAGGAGGTTATCTCCGCAGAATCTTTGCTGCTGTTAGTGCCCCTGCTGAGTCAAGATCAAGATGTCCTTTGGTCACAACAGTGGCAGTGCTCAGGCCAGAGTCTGTTTCTGTTTCTAGTTGAATGCTACCATGTCATGCATCACCACAGTTCCCCATACCACTGCCATCCTGTTCCCCAAGCTCAGCTCACTATTCACATCATCTGGAACGATTCCCTCTCTTCCTACCGTTGTCTTGAAACAGACAGTGTAGTGCTGTAGGGAGTTACAGTCCTGGCAATCTCTGAGTAATATTTGCAATAGTGCATGGAGCCTACGTTTGACAGAGTGGCAGGCAAACAGTTAGTTGTTTTGCTATTATGTTCACCCATAATGGAAGTCACTAGCTGCATGTCATAAGAAGAGGAAAGAGTCCTGTTGGATAAGGCCAAAGGCTCATTTAGTCTAGCATCCTATTATCCCAGAAGCAGGATATGAGTGCAGCATCACTCTCCCTACTTGTGACCTAGCAAGCTGTATTTAGAGCCTTCAACAATGAAGACAGAACATACCTATCATGGCCAATAGTCACTTATTAATTTATCTAATCTTGTTTTAAAGTCATGCAAGTTGATGGCCACCAATACATAATTGTGGGAGTGAATTCCATAGTTGAACTATGCCCAGTGTGAAGAAGTACATTGCTTTTCCTGTGCTGAATCATACAACATTCAGCTTCCATTATGAGAGAGGGAGAAAAAGTTATCTCTATCCAATTTCTCCAACTATGCTGCCATGCATCTTAAATGCTGTCAGTCTGGCCTCAGTGGCTCAGCCTTTCAGCAGCCCCTCCTAGAAGGCATCATAAGAGTTGACTGGTACTCCGGCAAATAATTTTTGCATA